CTCTGAATTGACTAATTACAGGCCTTTGAGTAACAAAAAGACCAGAAAGACAGAGAAAGGGAAAGAGAGGAGAGGGAAGTGATGCTTTTAGAATTATTGTGCTTGTATCCTTTTAAGAGTCAGCCTCAATTTCAATATTATGTCTTTAAATTTTTTTGATGTTTGTTTATTTATTTATTTATTTATTATGAGAGAGAGAGAGAGAGAGAGAGAGTATGAGCAGGGGAGGGGCAGAGAGAGAGTGGGAGAGAGAGAATCCCAAGAAGGCTTCTACCTGTGAGTGCAAAGCCTGACTTGAGGCTTGAACCTATGAACCATGAGATCATGACCCGAGCCTAAATCATTTGGACGTTTAACCGGCTGAGCCACCCTGACACCCCTGTACTTTTAAAATTTATTAGATTTTGAAACACAACAGCAAAGGAGAGTATGACTAATCCTGGAGACCATTAAAATTGACCTAGTAGAAAGAATTTGAAGTGTCCTCATAAATCTGTGCTATCACAACCTTCCAATAAATAGGAGACAAAAACACAGCAATGTACAAGGCATAATCAAAAGTTTATCTATAAAATACTTAGATTTGTCTAATTATGGATGGCTGGATAAATAGAATATAATAAGTAATTAAGGATTATTCATTAACAATAGTTATATTAGCACTTAAAGCTTGTCAAAATATATGCCTGAATCAAATACATGTAGGCAGCCCTAAATCACCCTGAATAAAAAACAAGGAGAGTCCAAGGAGTCAATTTGTCAGTGTTAAACAGTGGCCTTTCCAGGACAATAACATAATTATCTAATTATTGAAGAACAATAGCATATAATAGAATTTATTAATAGCTAATATATATGCTTTTTGATATAAAATTATACTTTGATGTTACAGTGTTTAATTTCACAGGTGTTGATAGAGATGTCTGTTATACTTATCCTCTGGTTTCCTGTATGCCTGAAATATATCATAGTTGCAAATTCAAAAATTTAAAAAGATAAAAAATAAATTATGTTTGGGGACAGATGTAGGTATAACCTTAGATTTAAATTTCCATCAATGGGAAAAATAACAACTCTTGCCAAATATGCCTGGTTTCATGACAAAAATGAAGTTCAGTGATTTAAAATTATCACGTTTGTTTGCTAATAGGTAATCTGAATAAAGTTTGGGTAAGAGCATAGTGGATTGTCATTCTGCAGAGAGCATGGGTCCAGTTTGTCCAACTCCATCATTTTATATGTAAGAAAACAGATCAAGAAAGGTTTAAGTAATCTCAAAGTCACATTGCTAGTAAGTGGCAGAATAGATGAACACATGAGTATTCTACTTCCCAGCCCAGTATTCTTTCTTTTTTTATTCTACTTTTAATTAATTAATTAATTAATTAATTTGATGTTTATTTATGTTTTAAAGAGATACAGAGCCCGAGTGGGGGATCCAGAAAGAGAGGGAGACACAGAATCAAAAGCAGGCCCCAGGGTCTGAGCTGTCAGCACAGAGACCAATGCAGGGCTCGAACTCATGAACCGTGAGATCATGACCTAAGCCGAAGTCAGATGCTTAACAGACTGAGTCACCCAGGAGACCCTTTATTCTACTTCTTAAAATGTGAGATATATTTTATAACAGCAAAAATTAGAAAAAACATATTTTGTAGTGGTGAATATTTGATAATATGACATCTTAAACATAATTAAAGAGTCCAGAAAATGATATTTTTAAATATGTTTCTGAAACATGAGCATATGAGTAGGTATGAGTGAAAACTAAGTCAGCCAGAGAAAGTTTGCACCAATTACCATATAATCCTTGTGCTTTGAATCAAGTTCTCATTTTCATTCTGCTTATTTTGAAAGGAAGTATTCCAAATGGTGATAAAATAAACAGAAATTTCTCTCAATCTTATTTGATAAAATTTGTGTTTTTAAAGAGAGAAGTGCAGGCCCAAAATGAAGCCATGTTAAGGTTCCACATCAGTAAACAAAGATTTAATATCTAATCTAATTGCAGTTTCAATCCCCAGTTTGAAACCTTTAACCAGCCAAGCTGGAATATCCGGGTAAACCTCAGGAAGTAATCTGCTGAACTTTCTGTTCCCCTTAGGAAGGCAACTTTGCCTAAAACACTGCATTCTTTGGTAATAATTCTCCCCAACCAGTCCTGTTTCAACCTTTCCTTTTCTATAGCTCTACAGAGCTCCCCTCTACTTACTAGATGGGATGCTGTCCAATCCCTGAACCATTTAATAAATCCAATTAGATATTCAAATTTACTCAGTTGAATTTGTGTTGTTTAACAGTGTATATAACACTTGTTGGAGAATATCATCCGTATAAAATTAAATTAAGATTCAAATTCTTTAAAATATGTATAATACTATCAGTTTGAATTGAGAATCCTTAAAATAACATTTTTGTATTCAAGTTCTTTCTTACAATTTTTTCCCCCCAATTACATGCCCTGGCTTGAAAGTTTCCTCTTCCTGTGTGTGCTCACTGAGTATTATAATGAATGGGTAGAATTTAATTGTACTAATTCATTTCTCATGGATTTGGAGATGGTCCCAAAGGCCATAAAAGCCTGGAGACCACCCTCCATACTGATATGGAGAACAAAGGCAGAAGAAATTTAGAACAAATTAAATTTCCTTACAACTTACAGCTGAAGTACTTAGGACTAACAGAGTGACCTTCCTCCAGAAACTCAACTGCCCTGATGTTAATACTTTGCAAAAGCAAAAGGCAAACAACATAACATTATCCTGACCTCCAGGACACTGTAAGTCTCCTTTTACATATAAAAATTACTTTGGAAGATTGCTTTATCTTGAGGCCCTCAAGATATATGTTAGTAATCAACTTCCAAGCATATGGTTCCCTGATA